GAGAGCCGGGGGCGGTGCCGGTGGGAGGGGTGCCAGTGGGAGAAGACGCTGTACTTCAAGAGCTTCGCGAAGCACATTGCGACGAAGCACCTGCGCTCGACGGCGGTCGTGTGCTCCGAGGAGGGGTGTCGGGAGCGATTCACGCGCGGGGACTCGATGGCGCGGCACGTGCAGACGGTGCACATGGGCGCGGGCGCGGGCGTCGATGGCTGAGCGGGGAGGGGGGAGATGCGGGGAGATGAGGAGGGGGAGAGGAGGGAGTCGCATGCGCGGCGGTACGTCTCGATTGCTCCACTCACAGAGCACACCGGGGTTGCTCACACTACCCCGCGCGGTAGACTCATTCGATATCCATTTCGCTTTCAGCCCATCCTACGTCCATGTAATACTACATCTTGCTGGCCCATCACCGCTCATATTACACTACGTTCCGCGCACGCATACACGGACTTTGCCTGTCGCACTAGAAAGATTCCTAACATTTCCCTACTGCCCGCCGACGCTGAACGACCTTCTGTGCATAATTTACTGTCCTGCATAGTGGTATTCTATAACCGCGAGGCACTAGCTCGCAACTAGCCTCCCGCCAGCCCGTCTTGGGACTAGTCTCCGTGAGGTGATCTGCCCCCGCGGGCTACCCGCGTTGGGCTTGGCCTTCGGCGGAGTGGGCACGAAATCGCCCAGCGGAAAAGGCTCGTGAGAATCCCCCCCCCCCAAACCCAGCGCAGCCCCCGAATTCTCGCGGCGACGAAATTGCAAATGACAAATAACCCCTCAACGCCCGATGGCTCAAATCGATCCGTTGCTGCGTTGTTCTATTGCCTCATTAATGTCCAGTCTATTAGTCATCCATCGCCAGCCATTAATTCATTCTCCATGCTCGGTGTGACTTGGCGTCCTGGGCGTGCGAATGTTTCCGTGTTGCAGCGAGTCATGCAGAACGAGAAGCAGAAGCGGGCTTGGGGGCCCTGCTCAGGACGCGCTTACGCTCTCCAGCCCGAGCAGGGCGGCGCGCGGAGACGCTAGCGGGGCAAAGACGTGGGCCACTTCCAACGCCCCATGTCCTTTCGAGCATCGCACGAGGCGGGGCGCCGCGCCAGCCGGGGGACGTCAGGGTCCCATCTTCGCGATGCGGGACCCCACGCGCTCGTCCGCCTGCCCACGCCCCAACTTGCCCACACAAATCATCCAGCGTCGCCAGCTGCTCCCCAGATGCGTGCGTTTCACGGTGGCAAAGCAGCCTAGGGGCGCAACTCTCCGATAGTCCCACAGCTGGAGCGTGGACTACAGAGACTAAGCCCTCAGGGACGCCGCCCCTCGCCCAGCTGCGCGGCTTTGCATCCAGGAACGCGTTCGCAGCGCAGCCCGGGGTGGCGCCGCTGCGACCCCACGCCACGGCGGGATAGTACGTTTGGGCGTCGCGCCGCGAGCCACGGATCTTGGGGGTGTCGCCCGAACGTATCCTGCCAGGGCGGCGCGCCGGCGACACGTCCGGGGGGCAAATCCCACACGCGCCGTCATTCGCTCGGGCGCCGCTGCGCGCAGGGGCGGGTGCCACCGTGCGCGAGGGATGCAGGTGCGGGTGTTACTGGGAGAGGCGTGCGGGTCTGCGCGTGTGCTGGGTGGGAGGCGTGAGCGGGGGGAGGGAACGCCTCGGACGCGGAGCCGAGCTCGACTTGCAGCTGCGCAACTGCGGGCGGACAATGGAGAGATGGTATCGCACTCACCGCGGGCGCGGGCCCGGGGTGTCCATGTCATCTGCGGGCAGCCAGGGGCAGGCGTGCTCGTTGCTACACGGCTACTGCATCCGCCTCGGGGCAGCCGTGCGGTGCATCTTCCGGCCACGGCGCCGCTTGAAATCCGCACCAACAGCGAGAGTCTAGAGGCGTGTGATCAGCAGATACCAAGATGGATTGGCCACCGCGAACGTTGTGCCCGCTCGCGGCATCTCCAGCACTCCCAGCTCGCGAAGGGCGCGCGATCGACGGCTACGTGGCAGCGGCCGACGACCAGGGCAGACTGGGAGATGAGGCGAGCTGACCCGCGGGCGGAGGAGGGCAGCGCTGTGCTTACGTTTTTCAAAGTCGCTTAGGATGAGGAGTGCGACAGAGGCGCGAACAAGCTTTGCCGGAGAGATAGCGTTGGGACAGCCCAAATCTCGTTCGACCCTGCGCTACGACTGGGAGACACGTGACTCCGTCTAGTTCGATCGCCGCGCGATTAGCTTCCGGCCGGCCGGGGAGCAAGATCGGGCTTGCGGTCGGCGTCGAGGAAAGTCGAACGCCGTCGACTCTCCCCTCACGCCGTCTTCGCAGCTCGGGTGCAGCTACTGGCTCTACGCCTGCCGTTTCTTGCATTCACAGGACCATACATGCGTATGCACTATGCTACTGTTTTGTGCTTCAAACAGCGCGGTCTGACACACAATGGCCGTGGCGCACTTGTCCCCAGTGTGAATTGAGCGTCGGCGGAGCCCTTCTTGACGCAGGAATTGTGTAGTGGGAAGATCGCGGTTACTGGATAAACACACCATACATTGTTTCTGTGAGTCCCAGCACAACCTCCTGGCATCGCTCCTTTATACGTTTCTATGTCGTTGCAATCATGGTGTTATCGTTTCTGGCGCCGAGGACTAGGCTGTCTCAAACCCTTTCGTCGACTAGAGG